CTCTTCAGGACACCGGCCCTCCAGGACCGAGTTTGGACAGCCCTGCTCTAGACTCTAGTCTATCAAGTAATGTCTTGTTTCTTAGAAACAGTTTTTTTGCTTCACAAGACATTAATTGATGGACTGGAGTCATGTGGATTACTTTTGGATTATCGTGATGTTTTATCAGCTGTTTGGACTCATTCTGACGGCACCCATTCACTGCAGAGGATCCATTGGTGAGCAATGATGTAATGCTAAATTTCTCAATATGTTCTGATGAAGAAACAAACTCATCTACATCTTGGATGGGTGCGTTTTCAGCAAATGTTCATTTTTTAATGAACTATATCTTTCAAGGCTTTTTAGTGGTGCTTGTCAAGGCAATCTTTTTTGCCTGGTAGATGATAAAACCATCCCATTGGCTTACAATTAAGGAGGTACATCTAGAGGTCAAAATATCAAAGAGGTCTGGAGGATCATGACATTGACAACTATCCTTAAAACCACCCATCAGTACACATTCAGGAAACCTTAATGTTTTAAACAAAAACATATTTAGGAAACCTTAGCAACCACATAGCAATACCCTGGAAATGCATGAGCAAGCGCCGCTCACATTTCCTTCAGAAAATATACAAATCTAGCTTTTTCTTTAGAAGTGATAAATTGATTTTTTTCTTGTGTCAGGACAAAATTCTTCTGCTCGGGGGATGATTTAAAAGAGGTCAGAAATATCAGCAACATGAATGATGCCTTGTTAGGAGAAATGCAGGTTAGTATCTACGTTCCTTATTAGTTGTGACATTTTATCCAGTGTGATTTGACTATTTGTAAATCACATGAAAATTTCATATCCATCGTTTGTTATACAGAAAGTGTGTGAGGAAGTGGAGAAGAGTGAAAGAGCAGTAGAGAAGCTTCAAGAAGACATCACACAGCTCAAGGAGGCGATCAGGAAACAGAAGAGAAACTCGGAGAAAAATGAAAGTAAGGTCCATTATCTCTAGTGCACTGTATGACTATGAACCGAGGCTGGTCTGCGCAGATTTCAAACATAAAAGGGCTTCAGTCTTGTAGTGTGCGCTTGGATACAGATTGTTGTAAGGTAGCACTTGTAACGCTATTTTTGTATTTAATTGCTAAATTTTATTACTCTTCTCATTGTAAGAGTATAATTTTACATACATTTTTGGTTCATCAGATTATTATAATTGTTTGTTTTTCATTCTGGTTTGTACAAACTGCAAATTAGGTTTATTATCTTTAACCAAAGCTAAAGACAAAAAAAGTTTCATTACTTGAAATAAAATATAAAATTTCAGCTAGTTGTCAAGGCAGCATTTCTTGTCTTCATTTAAGCTGAAGTACTAAAATAATTGTAATAATAATAAAACTAAAAAGTAATAACTATATAGAAATATTTTAAAAAATAATAAAATTGACAATTATATGAAATTACTAAAACATATTAAATTTAAAATGAAAACAGAATATGTAAAAATGAAATCGAATTCAAAATATTAACAAAACTATAATAGTACATCAGTGATACAAAAATGACACTGCCACAGATTTACAATAACAAAAATGGCTTGCATAGACAGTCTTCATTCAGAAATTATTCAGTGTTTGATACCACAAATATCAGGGTATTTCATAAACTGTGACTGATGTAAACCCTATAAATAGGGTAAAGATCTTTGTTATTCAAACATCCTGATTTTATGTCCGTGGATATTTTACTGAAACCACAGAACTATTTGTCAGTTAAAACATAAAATCAATCAAATTAAAGATTTAATATTTCTAGTGCACTTTATATTAATTCCTCCAAGGCCAGTCACACACTGAAAGATAGAACTGTTTGCAACTAGCACGCTATGAACTGAGGCATCTTGTCACAGATTTAAAACGTAAAAGGGCTTCAGTCTCTGTGCACTTGGGTACAGAGGTTTAATGTTGCAGTTGTAACTCTATGAATAACATTGCCTTTCAGCCCAAAAACGTGGCTCTCCAGATGAACCCAAAGAGAATGTTCTTCTGTGCTCAGCTCTCAGAACGCTCT